CAGGTCCAGTTCGGCGCTGCTAACCGAGCTAGCTCAGCTTGTTGCTCTGATAACTTAAGATCCAGACGTACGTGACTACAATCCTTCATCCGGTTAAATATAGTTAGAAAAATACCAATTTTATAGCATTAAATTTCAAGAAAGGATGGTTTGCGAAAAAAAGAAGAAGTATTTTTTCATATCGCAATATATATATCGCAGGGGGGGAAAAATATATCGCAAAGTCCGTTTTTTCCAATATCGTGCGGTCCTACTTTGTAGCATCCCATAATCCCCTCTGTTTCAGCCCTGTTTAAAAAATGCTCTAGTACCTCATTCACACCAACGCAACTCCGGTTCAAGCTCTGTGCTAGAGCTTTTCAGGTTCAGAACCGGTTCTTCGGTTTAGCTCCGGCACTTTTCACACCGCCCAGAGTCCGACTGGTGCTGCGTCATTGCGTCATCGTTTGCGTCATGACGTAACCGTTTGCGTGCCTGCTTCATAAAGCCAAACCGCGCGGAAACCCCTCACAGCTGACACCGACAACAATAACAATGTCCGATTGTGCTCCAGCTTCCTCTGTACCTCTTCGGAAGACCAGTGGATAAAACGCTGGCTTTTTGTTGTTGTTCAGGAGTTGATCCCGCCCCTGCCCCCGCCTCGACGTAAGCGTGACGTATGTGGTGCTTTTGCTCTGGCCGGACAATTTTTTGGTGCTCGAAACGAACCGGATTCCGGAGCTAAGAGGCTGCTCCGCTGCGGTGTGAACAGGAAAACCCGGTGCTTTTCAAGCTCCAGCTCCGAACCGGCCCTGAAACACCGTTGGTGTGAATGAGGTATAGGAGGCGATTCAGTTGATAAGGTGGGGGGGTTACCTTGGTTGGTGATTGGCTAATGGTTACACAAGCCAAAAAATCGTTATGACATCATTAAGTGGCCAAAATCTGATCAGCTCATTTTCAGACAGCTTTTTATGGAAATGGATCAGGACAAAAAGAGAGAGAGAATCTTTGTTCCTGAAACTTTCAGAGTCTCTTTACGCAGAGGGGACACATGTTGATGTAGAGGAGACATGAAGAAGAGGGGACACATGTTGATGCAGAAAAGACATGAAAAAGTGGATTTTGCATAATAGGGGACCTTTAATACTTGTTTATTGTAAATGTACCTTTTATTTTGTGTAATTTAAGTGGTTGTTTTATGCTTTCATTTTGAAGGCAGTGTTGGGCACTGGGTGAAACGGGAGGCTAAACCCCAGTGGAGCATTCGTGCCGATACCGCTCTAGTCGTGGAAAAACAAACTGTTTCGTAGTTTGTTCAACATTGTGAACCAAATTGAAAACCAAAACACGGAACTAGGACTGAACTCATTTCAGTGGAAAACGGGTATCTAAGAAGAAATGGCCTACTCTTTCCCAAAAATGTCTTACATGCTGACAAGACAAAAAATAAAAGAAAGACTTACCTGACGTCGCAGCGTTGTCGCATCGACCACAGTCATGTCATCAGGGCCCGCATCCATTGAAGAGTCAAGTGTTGAAAGTGCAAGCCTGTAAAAACGACGTCAGTTTGAGAATGTAATTCGTGGTAACGACCACAACAGAGCGTGCATGCAGAGTAGCACATTTCAGATCTACAGTGCAAATGAGCAATAGCGACTTCACTTCACTAGGTGATTATTATCATCTTATTTCTCGACAGGAAATGAGGATGGAGGAAAGGAAAAGGAAGGTGGGAAAGGGTTGAAGGTGAAGAGCCAGGTGGAGTTACCTGGAGTCCTGCAGGGGGATGGAGCTCGAGGCCGCCCCCCCTCGCAGTGATGGTTTGCTACAGAGGTGGAAAAGACAGGGTGGGGGGGGGGAGAGGAGAATAAGAGAGATAGAGCAACACACACATGTCAGTGTTGCATCCATGCACACACCTCGCATGTCCTTCCAGTTACTACGCTTTCTAGGCCTCTCGTTTAAAGTTAAAACAATTGAATTTGCCTTTTTTTCGAAAATGAAATATACATTTGTCGGCAAAGCTGATTAATCCCACCACCACTTTTACCTGAAGGTAGATCCAATTCAGTTTCATATTGTGAAGGTACATCAGGCAGAATGTATGTATTTTATATTTTGATTAATACATGCTGTTTTAATATTGTTACAGATTTGTCTCAGTTAGAAATGATCATGTTATGCTCGAGTCTTCAAAGGGGCCAAGCTGAATTTAAGAGAAAACATTTCCTTGTCCTAAAAGCAGGCGAAACTAATCTAGATTCAACAGGAAGTTGAGGAACAACTGAAGCAGTCAGTGTTGTCCTCTCTGAGCAGAGTTTTTTTTTAAAGCAGAAAATGTCCGGATGATGGAGAGGTCACCTGCTGGGGTTTTCGTCCAGGACCTCCAGGACCTGCTGGTAGGCCCGGCGTGTCGTGGACTGGAGGAAAGAGAGAACACCGCTAGCGCTGTACAGGTTGTGTTCCTCTTCGGCCGCGGTGAGAGGGGGCAAAGGGTGGGTGGGCGGTGGGAGGGGGGGAGGGGTTCGCGCTGCTCAGTGACCACCGTTAAGAGCAGCCAATCAGAGGAGAGGGACAGACAACAGAGGAAGGAAAGGAAGGAGAGGGAAGGAAGGAGAGAAATAAGGAAAATAAACTGTCCTCAACTTCACTGATTTTGTGAAAACTGCAAGCCCTTTTAACATTTCATCAGCAGAGGTAACACATCAACAAGTGCTTTTGGACTAGTTAGAAGTACAAGACAAACTATCCATAATGTTATTTTGGCTTAAAGGAATTCCAACAAGAGATAGTCAAATTGTTACTTCTTAATATCAACATTTAATAGCTTACTTGTGGAAAAGCTCAATGTAGATATCTACAATTGTCCGTACAGTTAAGATTCTAGATATCTTAAATTCAATTGTGAATTGTCAAGAATAAACTATTGAAATGACAGCTTTGATTTGATGAGAATATTTGTAAGAATGTAATTACAAGATATCTAAAATTACATTCAGATATTTCAAATATAATTGTAACTACTGAACCCTACCTTATACGTACTAGTTACATTATACATTTGAGGTACCAAAAATGCCGTTAATAACTTTTTAGAGTTCAATTTTAGAAGAAGGAAATTAGTTTGTAGAACTTTGTAGGTATCTTCAACAACGGACGTACATATTCCAAAATAAATATGGTCCGATAAAATCTGCATATGTGGAAATTTGACTTATGATGTCTGTAAATCCTTAGACTAGTCTAACATGTCAAATTGGTTCAGCAGATGTCTTCAATTCAATTGACACAAGTGAAAACTAGGCAGCTTTTTATTCGGTAGCCCTACTGATTCAAAGTGAAATGGGCTTGCCATAAAACGAGTTAAAGTGATGTTGTAATATAGCAAGAGATTTGACCTGCCAACCACTAACAGTCCTTTACTATCAAATAATATAATTAACAAAAATGGAGACGTGAACTCAAAACACTGACAAGCAAATGATTCCAACTCTTTTTGTGCTATTCAAAGACGTCACATGCAGATGTCATGAGGAAGGAGATGAAGGGACATGAAGTGGATTTTGCTGCACAAGCATACAATTGTTGATATATTCCAATTACCTTGAGAGCACTTTGTGAAGCTCTGTTGTGCTGAGTGATGTTATAGTCTGTAAGTGGGTTTATACTAGGGATGCCAGCGGTTATTCGATTTTTCGAATATTCGTTACAGTCTCCATAATCGAAAATTATTTTTTTTAATTCAATTTTATTTATATATCTTTTTATTATTATTTATGTTTTTCTGGGATGGGGGCGGCGGCGAATAATCGATTAATATTCGCCAGGGCTGTCCGATCTTCGAATTTTATCATGGTCAGTTTCTGGCATCCCTAGTTTATACACACTTTTTATCCCTTTCCAGTATTCTTGGAATCATTTTAACATTTAAAAAATCTGGATGTTGTCCCTTCAAAACTGATTAGTTCATAAAATGTTTGAAATCAAGATATTAATGGATTAGCTTCAGCAACTACAATAAAAACGTGCTGCTTCGACATTGACAGCAGCGTACAAAGGCAGGGACAACCAGCTCCCTGACAGAGACAAGGGAAGAAAGGGCCAAAACAAAGATGCTAGTGCATGCATGTATATGAGATGAGATGGAGCGGGTAAGAAGCTTACGACGGCGTATTTAGACCCATACTCACGCAGAATCGCTGCGCATCATCTGAGTGTTGTGACGGGCCGAGGCGTTCTCGCTGGCTGATCGTTCCCGACGTACTCGTGCTTGTGGCCGCAGCTGCACAGAAATAAGGATGTTATGGTTAACTTTAAAGATGTTTGTGGAGCGTCATTTAAACACAAGTTATTGTCTTATCGCTTACCAGCTCCTCAGTGTCTGGAGCTGCTCTCTGCGCTGCTGCTGCTGCTGCTGCTGCTGCTGCTGCTGCTGCTCCTCTTCCTCCTCCTCCAGGAAGTCAAGAGGCCGATCACTGAGGGTCAGGACTCTGGGTGGGGTCTTCAGAGATAGGCTTTCTAGTGGGGTGGACTGGATCAGGTCCAGGTCTCTGGGTCTGGGGAACTGGGGGTCATTACTGTCTCCTGACAAAGGAAGGTGTGAATGAGAGATTTTAGCATCTTCACTACCTTTAAAGGGGAACTAGTAAGCTCATTTCCAGGTTCATATTTGTATGTTGTGCCTCCACTGTGACATGTCTCCATGCTTGAATATTTAAAAAAGCTCTTTATTTTTCTCATACTGCCTGTGCTGCAGCACCTCTTTTCACCCTGTCTGCTCTGATTGGTTAGCTGGCCGGCTCTGTTATGATTGGTCAACCGCTTAGAGATGTCAGGCCTCCCCCCCCCAGGATGCATTAGCCTCTCTCATCTCTTGCCAGTTTCTCTCACGCTGGAGCTGTTACATTATGCAAATGACTCTGTGGTCTAAAATAGAGCAGCGATGAGGCCATAATTATTTTACCGTGCAATATGTGAGGCTATTTTCTGATACAGTTTGCTCCCGAGTAGACATGATCTGAAAATAGATGAACTTGGCAACAAGGTCTGAGCAGAGGTTCAAGTCAATCGACTATTCATATCTTTACACTACGCTATAACTTTTATTCATGTATTTTAAAGTGGACCTATCATGCTATATTTGAAAAATATATTGTAGGGCCATACCTATACAAAACATGTCTGTGAAGTTTTTGATTAAAATACCAAACAGATCACCCATTGTAGCCATGCCTCATTCTGCTCATACCCCTCTTTTGCAGCCCTGTTGCAAACAGGCTGATTCTGCTGCTAGCCACGCCCCTTTGTAGCTTCACGCAGCTTTCCCCTACTACCGGGAGATCTCAGCTAAACACTGCGGTGATTAAATGCCATGTTATGCTCCTAACCACTTCAAGCTTTATTTCTGAAACAGTATGGAGCTCAAACCTTTCTCTCTCGCAGGGTTTACCACAAGGACGTAACGTTACACA